TTCTCTTATTTAAAAACTGACAAAGCTGACAAAAGATTAAGTTTTCCAGAAAAGAAGTAAAATTGTTTTTCAACTTGATGATTACTGACAAGAAACTTACTGATCAATCAGATAATCAATCTGCAAAAAGAATATATTCCTAATATAATCAAATATCAACAATATTAAGAATCTTTGTTTTAGACCGCATATGTGAGAAACACAATCAATACGAAAAATGCCTGTTACTTGCATATGTATTTACATATTGTAGTCTTTTCAAACTGCGCGCCGAATTTTTTTCGGACTTATAAACGCAATTAAAACTACTCTAGTAATCGCGAACTAAATTGACAAGCAAAATTTTGTTTAACAATTTGATGCTACAATCAAGCATCGTATTATGAAGATGTTAATATATTGAAAAACTGTTAATAAATAATAATCAAATATTATTTTCATTTCATAACCTTAAAAACTATTTTTTTTTATTGTGACGACAAGTTATTATAAAATTAAGTTATAGTTTACTTTCAATATGATTGAGGATAATGTCTAACTTATTCACATAATAACTTGAAAAATTACATTTTTTCCAGTTACGTCACTTTTCAAAGTAAAAAAAAAAAGCGATATTATTTATTTCGTATAATGATGTTGGAAGAAAATCTCTAGAAACATTTCAATTATTTTCTGCTTCAAAATTCTTTTAAAAATATTAAAAAAAGGTTGCTCGAAGAAATCTTTTTGTATAAGGAAAAGAAGTCTGAAACGAACATAGTGAATGTAAAAAATTCATTTACTTCAGCGTTGCAAGAACGAATTTAGTCGTTTCTTTGCACTTTTGAAATAAAACGATTGCGTTCTTCAGCGCGGAACTAACTACAGCTAGACCATCTCAAATTTTTTACGTAAGATATTCTAATGATGTGACCACATTTACAACGCGGCGTGATGGGAATTATCAAGCTAAATTAAATGTCTCATGAATCGTTAATTAAGCATTTCGTGGATTGCTGCTCGCGTTGACTTAAACGGATATCCTAGGTCGTTTCGTCGAAAGACGAGCGTAGATGGTGCATTTGCGGGAGATCCCTAGAGTTTACGTTTATACAAATGACTTCTCGTCGTCGGGATCCGTTTCGGATTCGATAAAGCAGGTTTGCGAAATGTGATAGAAATTCTGCTATCAACCCGATATATCACGTAAGAACGTGCGCGGAATACGTGTCACAGCAACCATCACTACGAGTCAAAACTCAGAACAACCCAGAATACGATGTCTGGAATTATTTTATGCTGCTACGTGATCTATGGCGCTTGACAACAAGAAAGGGCGAGCTTCCGTTCACGCTGGCTGGTAGAAGAGCATGCGTCATCCGATAATAATCCGCGTATAATAAGCATAATGATGAATAATAACAAGCGTCATCCCTTCGCTTCCGGCAATGAGACTTGGGACGCGCCACATCCAATCACTCTGACAACTCCCGAGTGAAATCTGATTAACGGCTTAATTGCAAAGATCTCCAATTTAACGCAAGATAACGTGACTACTTCATAACTCTGGGATATTTCGAAAGTTATCGCGGATCGCGAGAGAAGTCGCGTAATTACAGTCCGGATAGAAAGCCGACGGATCACGATTTCTAGTGTGAGAATTCGTGGACCGAGGGATATGGATATATATATATACGTGTCTCCTCATCTGGACGATACATTCGGTACGTTTGCTTTAATTAGTAAAGCATGAGGGCCATTAATAGTTGATGAATACACGATGTTTGCACGACCAATGCGCGCGGCGATATCGCGAATTATGCGTTATCATAATTGGCGCATGGGGTGCACGTGCATACATTATAGGGGCGCAGTCGCCGCGACAGATGCGGTAACAACCGGCAGGATGCTGCGGTGGCGAGAGAGAAACGGCTTCTGCGAACCTCGGCCGCTCCGGTACTCCCGGTAGTACCGAGCGTGAGAAGGCTTTGTTATCGGACGACGACGCTGCGACCCTCATGAATATGAAACACTCCGGGAAAATGCGGGGGTGAGACGGAGACGAGACGTGACGGGGGACGAGGTGAGGCGAGGTATCGCGACGTAACTAAGGCTTCTACTTACCGTGCAGTATATGAAGAAGGCCCCCAGAACAATCACGCGCAACAAAACCGGGCTGGCCGCTCGCACCACCTGCAACAAATCATTTCGCTCGTTCATTCACGCGCCGCTGGCCTGTGAACTGCCGCCGATGCGACGGGGCGGGGAAACCGGGCGCAGGGAACCGAATACGCGTAAATAAAATCAGAGTCGCGCGACGAGAGCAACCGGCGGAAGATCGCGTCTCTCCCGTCTGATGACGATGCGATCCGGCAGAAATCGTATCTGTCAAAAACTGACCCCGATATCTGCGCGACACTTTGGGTAAATAGAGACTTTGGAAATGTCAAAAGTTCTCGTCTCTTGAGTAAATTCCTTAAGATTCTTCGGGATACTTTCGTATCCCCGGGGGCTCTGAAAATTTTCATTCTCTGTTCCTTAAACGTTCTTCGATACGATTAATATTAACTTATGGTTAGCCTGATATTCTGAGAATAAAATAATCTCTAAATTAAATGGACAATTTCGCTTTTTTTTTTTAATTATTTCCAATATCTCGCGGGGATGGTTTACGAAAACTATTTTCATAGACGAAACTAATCATCCTTTATATTTTCAAAGGCAGTACTACGGAGTAGTACGTGGAATTTCGGAATAGTATTCCACGTTATCTGTTATTTAAGAGTATCTCCCTTCAAATGCTTTATTTATGTTGCCAACTGCTCCCACAGCATTGTGCTCTCCAAGTTTAAATTCAAAATATACATGTTTGTTATGCACAGATGAATAGAACGGGTATCTAGGTATTCTCGCTGTTCACTTCGATTTATTCTATTCAACAAAATCTGTTTGTTTATTGAGATTGCACTCAAAGGGCATAGTTTACACAATCTGCTTTATTAGAGCGCCTTTGTTCAAAAGCCAGAAAAAGGTGACTGAACAGAACAGAAAATTGTATTTACAGCACTAAATAATAAAAAATATTTTTAAATAGATACATGCTGAATATATCTCCTATGTACCTTCAAATAGAATATTCATATTTTATTCGGGGGGTTTTTTTTTTCAATGTAACGTAATATACCGTAAAAATTTGTCAAAAATACATCACCTCGGAAAAAGTACACATCGCGAATTGTCATAAATGAAGAAAACTTTAGTAGGGCAAATAAATTACTGTGGATAAAATAGTTTTTTTTTTTATTAATTTTT